CAACCAAGATTACTCTACCCAGCAAGGATCTCATTCAAATTCGACGGAGAAATTAAAACCTTTACAGACAAGCAAAAGCTAAGAAAATTCAGCACCACCAAACCTGCTTTACAACAAATGCTAAAGGAACTTCTCTAGGCAGGAAACACAAGAGAAGGAAAAGACCTACAATAACAAACCCAAAACAATTAAGAAAATGGTAATAGGAACATACATATTGATAACTACCTTAAATATAAATGGATTAAATGCACCAACCAAAAGACATAGACTGCCTGAATGGTTACAAAAACAAGACCCGTATATATGCTGTCTACAAGAGACCCACTTCAGACCTAGGTACACATACAGACTGAAAGTGAGGGGATGGAAAAAGATATTCCATGAAAGTGGAAATCAAAAGAAAGCTGGAGTAGCAATTCTCCTATCAGACAAAAGAGACTTTAAAATAAAGACTATTACAAGAGACAAAGAAGGACACTAGAGAATTATCAAGGGATCAATCCAGGAAGAAGATATAACAATTGTAAATATTTATGCACCCAACATAGGAGCACCTCAGTACATAAGGCAAATACTAACAGCCATAAAAGGGGAAATCGACAGTAACACATTCATAGTAGGGGACGTTAACACCCCACTTTCACCCATGGACAGATCATCCAAAATGGAAATAAATAAGGAAACACAAGCTTTAAATGATACATTAAACAAGACGGACTTAATAGATATTTATAGGACATTCCATCCAAAAACAACAGAATACACTATCTTCTCAAGTGCTCCTGGAACAGTCTCCAGGATAGATCATATCTTGAGTCACAAATGAAGCCTCGGTACATTTAAGAAAATTGAAATCGTATCAAGTATCTTTTCTGACCACAGTGCTATGAGACTAGATATCAATTACAGGAAAAAATCTGTAAAAAATACAAACACATGGAGGCTAAACAATACACTAGTAAATAACCAAGAGATCACTGAAGAAATCAAAGAGGAAATCAAAAAATACCTAGAAACAATGACAATGAAAACACGACGACCCAAAACCTGGGATGCAGCAAAAACAGTTCTAAGAGGGAAGTTTATAGCAATACAATCCTACCTCAAGAAACAAGAAACATCTCAAATAAACAACCTAACCTTACACCTAAAGCAATTAGAGAAAAAAGAACAAAAAAACCTCAAAGTTAGCAGAAGGAAAGAAATCATAAAGATCAGATCAGAAATAAATGAAAAAGAAATGATGAAAATGATAGCAAAAATCAATAAAACTAAAAGGTAGTTCTTTGACAAGATAAACAAAGTTGATAAACCATTAGCCAGACTCATCAAGAAAAAAATGGAGAAGACTCAAATCAACAGAATTAGAAATGAAAAAGGAGAAGTAACAACTGACACTGCAGAAATACAAAGGATCATGAGAGATTACTACAAGCAACTCTATGCCAATAAAATGGACAACCTGGAGAAATGAACAAATTCTTGGAAAAGCACAACCTTCCGAGACTGAATCAGGAAGAAATAGAAAATATAAACAGACCCATCACAAGCACTGCAATTGAAACTGTGATTAAAAATCATCCAACAAACAAAAGCCCAGGACCAGACAGCTTCACAGGCGAATTCTATCAAACATTTAGAGAAGAGCTAACACCTATCCTTCTCAAACTCTTCCAAACTATAGTAGAGGGAGGAACACTTCCAAACTCATTCTACAAGGCCACAATCACCCTGATACCAAAACCAGCCAAAGATGTCACACACACACACACAAAAACTACAGGACAGTATCACTGATGAACATAGATGCAAAAATCCTCAACAAAATACTAGCAAACAGAATGCAACAGCACATTAAAAGGATCATACACCATGATCAAGTGGAGTTTATCCCAGGAATGCAAGGATTCTTCAATATACATAAATCAATCATTGTGATACACCATATTTACAAATTGAAGGATAAAAATCATATGATCATCTCAATTGATGCAGAAAAAGCTTTTGACAAAATTCAACACCCATTTAAGATAAAAACTCTCCAGAAAGTAGGCATAGAGGGAACCTACCTCAACATAATAAAGGCCATATATGAAACACCCACAGCCAACATCGTTCTCAGTGGTGAAAAACTGAAACCATTTCCTCTAAGATCAGGAACAAGACAAGGTTGTCCGCTCTCACCACTATTATTCAACATAGTTGTGGAAGTTTTAACCACAGCAATCAGAGAAGAAAAAGAAATAAAAAGAATTCAAATCAGAAAAGAAGAAGTAAAACAGTCACTGTTTGCAGATGACATGATAGTATACATAGAGAATCCTAAAGATGCTACCAGAAAACTACTAGAGCTAATCAATGAATTTGGTAAAATAGCAGGATACAAAATTAATGAACAGAAATCTCTTGCATTCCTATACACTAATGATGAAAAATCTGAAAGAGAAATTAAGGAAACACTCCACTTACCATTGCAACAAAATGAATAAAATACCTAGGAATAAATCTACCTAAGGAGACAAAAGACCTGTAAGCAGAAAACTGTAAGACACTGATTAAAGAACTTAAAGGTGATACAAACAGATGGAAAGATATACCATGTTCTTGGATTGGAAGAATCAGCATTGTGAAAATGATTATACTACCCAAAGCAATCTACAGATTCAGTGCACTCCCTATCAAACTACCAATGTCATTTTTCACAGAACTAGAACAAAATATTTCACAATTTGTATGGAAACACAAAAGACCCCAAAAAGCAAAAGCAATCTTGAGAAAGAAAAATGGAGCTGGAGGAATCAGGTGCCTGTTCTTCAGACTATACTACAAAGCTACAGTAATCAAGACAGTATGGTACTGGCACAAAAACAGAAATATAGATCAAAAAACAGGACAGAAAGCCCAGAGATAAACCCACGCACCTAGGGTCAACTAATCTATGACAAAGGAGGTAAGGATGTACAATGGAGAAAAGACAGCCTCTTCAATAAGTTGTGCTGGGAAAACTGGACAGCTGTATGTAAAATAATGAAATTAGAACACTCCCTAACACCATACACAAAAAAAAGCTCAAAACGGATTAAAGACCTAAATGTAAGGCCAGACACTATAAAACTCTTAGAGGAAAACATAGGAAGAACACTATTTGACATAAATCACAGCAAGATCCTTTTTTGACCCACCTCATAGAGAAATGGAAATAAAAACAAAAAGAAACAAATGGGACCTAAGGAAACTTCAAAGCTTTTGCACAGAAAAGGAAACCATAAACCAGATGAAAAGACAATCCTCAGAATGGGAGAGAATATTTGCAAATGAAGTAACTGACAAAGGATTAATCTCCAAAATATACAAGCAGCTCATGGAGCTCAATATCAAATAAACAAACAGCCCAATCCAAAAATGGGCAGAAGACCTAAGTAGACATTTCTCCAAAGAAGATATACAGATTGCCAACAAACCCATGAAAGGATGCTCAACATCACTAATCATTAGAGAAATGAAAATCAAAACTACAATGAGGTATCACCTCACACCAGTCAGAATGGCCATCATCAAAAAATCCAGAAACAATAAATGCTGGAGAGGGTGTGGAGAAAAGGGAACCTTCTTGCACTGTTGGTGGGAATGGAAATTGGTACAGGCACTATGGAGAACAGTATGGAGGTTCCTTAAAAAACTAAAAATAGAACTACCATATGACCCAGCAATCCCACTACTGGGCATATACCCTGAGAAAACCATGACTCAAAACGTGTCATGTACCGCAACGTTCATTGCAGCACTATTTCCAATAGCCAGGATATGGAAGCAACCTAAGTGTCCATCGACAGATGAATGGGTAAAATAGATGTGGTACATATATACAATGGAATATTACTCAGCCATAAAAGGAAACGAAATTGAATTATTTGTAGTGAGGTGGATGGACCTAGAATCTGTCATACAGGGTGAAGTAAGTCAGAAAGAGAAAGACAAATACCGTACGCTAGCACATATATATGGAATCTAAAGAAAAAATTGTTCTGAAGAACCTAGGGACAGGACAGGACTAAAGACACAGATGTAGAGAATGGACTTGAGAACACGGGGAGGGGAAAGGGTAAGCTGGGACGAAGTGAAAGAGTGGCATTGACATATAGCCACTACCAAATGTAAAATAGATAGCTAGTGGGAAGAAGCCACATAGCACAGGGAGACCAGGTAGGTGCTTTTTGTCCACCTAGAGGGGTGGGATAGGGAGGGTGGGAGGGAGATGCAAGAAGGAGGGGATATGGGGATGTAAGTATAGGTAGAGCTGATTCACTTTGTTATACAGCAGAAACCAACACAGCAATATAAAGCAATTATATTCCAATAAAGGTGTTAAAAAACAAAAAAACAAACCCAGATGGAACCATCTGGGACCAAGATGGCAATGAATCTGACCTTCAACAGATTTCTAGGTCCTTATTTTTTCTCCTCCTAATCTTAAAGAGGACAGAGGAAAGGAGGACATGGAAAGAAAATTTTCTCCTGAAGGTGTTAGCAAAAGTACTAAATCAAGTGAGATGTGGGGGTTATCTAGTGATTTAGTTTATCCAGCCTCTCTTTTCTCCAATCCCTAATTGTAAGATAATTTACATTAATACAGGATGCCACAGATTGTGGTAGGGTAAAGCACCATTGAGATTTGGAATCAAACCTCGAGTGTTCATAAATTGGCTCCACCAGTTAAAAGCCCTGTGCCTCTGAGTGAAATCTCGACCTCTCTAGCCTCAATTACCTTCAACAAAAGTTGGGTATATTAACAATGCTGTTTTGATGTATTGTAAAAATTAAATAATTCAATGTATGTGAAATAGCATGATATCTGGGACATAGGAAATGTTTAACAAGTTAAAACTATTAGTACTTAATATTGATAATGATAATTTTACTTCACGTGGCATTGAGTACAGAGATCTACGGGAATCAGAAAAGAGAGACTTATTTCTTTTTCTTCTTCTCTTGCCCAGCTTCCTACAAGAAAATAAACACTCGCAATCTTAAGGTCCCAGGGACAGATGAAGTAGAGCTCACCTGCCAGGCTGTAGGCTATCCCCTGGCAGAAGTGTCCTGGCCAAATATCAGTGTTCCTACCAACACCAGCCACACCAAGACCTCTGAAGGCCTCTACCAGGTCACTAGCGTTCTGCGCCTAAAGCCGCACCCTGGCAGGAATTTCAGCTGTGTGTTCTGGAACGCCAATATGAAGGAACTCACTTCGGCCATCGTTGACCAAGGTAAGAGCTGCCTAGCTTACCAGTCAGGGTTCAGGCAAGAAATGGATGACACATTCAGAATGAGTAATCTGAGGACAGTGTAATAAAGGGACTATTTATGAAGGTGGGATTAGGATTTAGAGAAAGTACTAAAGGTAGTGCAGGACACCTGGGGCTTCAAAGGTCGGGGAGCAATTACCACCCTGGAGAGGCTACTGGAATCTGGAGGAGGGAGCTGTGGCCTCCGGTACAGGGATGCTGCCACCTGCATCAACTCCAAAGAGCAGAAGCTGATGAATGGATACCACAGCCTCGTTCTCCTCCCACCCTCCAGTCTCCTGCTGGTGCTTCCCATTAGCAGAGCCCAGGTGGAATTCCACTGACATGTTCATAAAGTCAACCTCTCAGAGCTCAGAACTGAGTGTTGGAGTGGAGAGAATGGATCCAGAGAGGAAACTGAAAACACCCAGCATAAAGGCTCATCATTGTGATTCAGGCACAGTACTACGAGTCAGCAGTATGAATGTTACTTTGCTGGCTTTGCTGCCAGCCAAGTGGTTTTAGGGTTTTCCAGGAAAACTGACCTCTTAAAATAAACATTTAGAGCCTTCACTGGCTATGCTGAATCCCATACTTTAGAATTTCGTGCACCAGCAAAATTTCTGACAATTTTGGTAGTCGGACAATTCTTTTATCTGCCAAGAACATTCATTTGCCAAATAAGAGAGTTAACATCTAGTATCATAATCATTTCATAAGAGACAGGTCATTTTATCACCAGAGACATAAGTTTCCTATTGTTCCACAAACATCATGGGCTTAACCTCACTCTTTTGGAGGTCAGAAGTCTGAAAACGGCTTCACTGGTCTCAAATCAAGGTGTTGACAGGATTGCACAGGCTCTGAGAATTCATTTTCTTGATTTTTCTGCCTTCTGGAGGCCACCTGCATTCCTTGGCTCGTGGACCTTTCCTACAGCCTTCAACACCAGCAATTGCATTACTCAGATCTCTGCCTCTGTCATCACATCTCTTTCTTTAACTCTCTTGCCTTTTAAGGGCCACCTGTTCCACCTTTTAAGGACCCTTGTGATTACATTAGATACCTCCCCGCAATACATACCTCAACCTGATAATTTAGGATAATTTTCACATTTCAAGGTCCTTAATATAATCACATCTGCAAAATCTTTCTGCTGTGTAGGATAACTCATTCACAGGTTTCAGAACATGGACATGTTTGAGGTGAGTAATTATTCTGCTATCATACCAATAAAGGATATAATCTCCAAGTAAAGAACAGTCCCTAGTTATGATAAATTTAACTTTATAGAAGATTTGCTATGTTGTCATTATATTTCACTATTTGCCCTTTACCTTAGTTAGATAAAACAGAGCCCATGATAAGGACTTGTGTGGCATGCAGGTATTTAGGTGATGACCCCAGGGAGCAGAAGTGAGAGGTTTAGCAAATCAAGACAGGAAAGAAGGAAAAGCAAATAGAAGGGTGCATTACCAAAGTTGTTGGTGTGGACAATAGAAGCTTAAGTACTCAAGGACCACCTGAGAAGTGCATAGATCATCTCCTAAGATGTTTACTCAAAGGGCTTCAGGTGGAAGGACTAATCAATCTGCTTTTACCCCCAGTGGTTAACAGTTGTCCCCAGGAGCGTTAACTGCCTTCTACTGTGAGCTATGCATGCATGTGGGCTGAGTGAGCTCCCCACAGCATCTATAGCATCAAAGTCATTCCAGGGCAGAAAGCAATGTATCCACTTGCGGTGAATCACTGACCATGAAGTGAGTCAAGGCCCACCCCGAATTCTACCCAGTCTGTGGCTGAAATCAGAGGTGAAGCTGAGAGGAAATGAGGCAGGACTACAACAGTCTATCCCTTGTGCTGCTCAAATCCCTCCATTCATGCCCTACATTAAGTCCACTGTCTCCGAGCCTTCAGGCAGGGAAGTAGCTACAATCTCTGCACAAGATGCACATACGAGAGTTCATGGAACAAGTTACAGCTCCTGCTGCTGCAACTGATCCCAAGCCATAAGTGATGTTTGTCATTTCTCTCATCCACCATACATTCTAGATTTCCCTTGCTCAGCATTTCAGATGGAATAGTTTGTTTGCCTGGAAGATGAAGAGAAATAGGGGTTGGGGGTGACTCAGACTTTCAACCCTGAGAGACATGAGCCCGTAGTCACCTTGCCCTTAGCAGACTGAAGTTGTTGCAATTGCCTTTTCATTGTTATTGTGGGTATGGAAGTAACAAGACTCAGAGAATCAGTGGATCCCTGAGTTCCAGACATAGTCTTCCTTGCCTCCATTATGTAGCAGCATTTGAGTTCTTCCTGGTAATCAAGATTGATTACTCTACCAGTGCAATGATTCTTTTCTTTGCCTGCTGGTCTGACAGTGGGTAGAGCTCAAGCTGACTAGGCAGTATCTAGATGCAATAGAACATATCCCTTGGTACAGCATCCTTTGGTAGAAGTACTTGCCACTAGGAAGCTGGACCTTTAAGTGGAGCCTAAATTTGTGGAGATGAGAAGCAAAAATTCTACAAATGGGTCACTGGAAGTAATGATGAAAGGGACCAACCTTCAGCATTGGGGGAGCCCTGGCATAAAAGTAGCACATGGTTGAGGCAAGACTGTCTGGGGGAAGTGAGTTAGAACCTGCACAGAACCATCCATCATTCAGCCACATTCAGCCATAGCTGAAATCAGGGGTAAGACAGGCAGAATATGAGTTGGGGCACCAGAGATACCTGCCCTATCTCAAATTAAATTTTATCATGGATTGGCACCAATCCACAGACCAGACTGAGAACTTTGAAGTGACTCTATGCCCATCTCATCGTTAATTTCCTAGCATTTCTCTTTTTTACAAAAAAAGAATACTCCCTGATATAGTTTTCAGAGGCAGCCAGCTCCGTTGTCATCTTCAAACCCCCAATTCCCCACTTCCCCAGCTATCCACACTTGGCTACCCAATTTCAGCGCTAAAGTTAGCCCAGCTTCTTTCTAACTAAGTTATTATGATGAAGTGAGGAAGTAAGGAGAGGATTCATGCTAAGGATTTAGCAACTTACCATTTTTAGGGCCAACTTTGAGTGAAAATAGTGAATTAGGCAAGTTTGGACCTTTCAATATTCTCTACTTCTTTTTTAAATCACAGCTAAGACCACCAGACTTGTCACCTTATAAAACTTGAGCTATAACTAATTTGTACCAGAGGTCTAGAGTCTTATATATTACAATCCCAGGGGAATTTTTTTTTCCAAGAATTGTTTAGTAAACTCTCCTTTGTTATGTGGAATTTTCTGCCTGGTTAATTTTTGGCCAATACTTTGGATGAAATGTGGTTTTCTAGAATGACACATATAAGGAGCTTTGCTGGGAAACAGGGGCCTGGGTAAGATGAATTTGGAAATAACTGGAATCTACACTTCACATCACTGAGTACATCAGTATTTTTTTCTTCTTGGTAGAGAGGTGGAAGAGCAGACTAACCATTCTTCTGGAAGCCTTGAGGTGGTGAGAAGTTAGGAATGAAGTAAGCTGGCTCTTCTCTCCAGGGGAGAAAACAGAGCTGATGGAATAGTCAACAATCGTGGGAGAGACCTGTGGGGTCTGCATCAGAGGTTGGGAGCTCCTAGGATACCACTCATGAATGTGGCTGGCAGGGGAATGGAGGAATCTTTGAAATGTAGTCAGAGATTTTCAACCAGTCTCTAGAGATAGGTTGAGAATCCTTCCCAGCTCTATATTCATCCTATCCCCTGACATGGATCCTCTGCTCCAGGCAGCTCCCCTTCCTTTCCCTGTACTCTCTGAACCTGCTTGTACCTCTCCAATCACCATGACTTCTCTGCTCAGTAGTTTCTGCCACATAAAATATCATTATTCGCCCTCTTCACCAGTTCTCCATGGCAGCTCAGGTAACTCCAGGGTACAAGGCATCTTTCCCTCATCTTGCATCCTAAAACCTATTGCCTGTACCATTTCTTTGTTTGCCTGTGACTGTACTTGTGTTTTCTCTTTCATTGGTATTTTATTTTCCATGTATTTTAATTGTTCACATGAGTCTTCTTTATGTCCAAACTAAAGCAAAACCTCAGTGCTCTGCCCATGGTAAGTGCTCAATAAATGTCAGATTAATGGGTTGGAGACTTAGTCTTGGATGACCCCAGTCCCATCATCCCAGCTGCTAGTCTGTGTGGACAGCCAGATCAGAGCAGTCAAATGATCCCCTAGTTTGTGATACAAACACCAACAAAATAGCAACAAAATAACCAAAGTCACACATTCTCCCACAAAGGCATTCTTGCTTCTGTTTCACAAAGGCATTTTTTTTTCACAAAGGCATTTTTAAATTGTCTTATGACTGTCCCCTTTCTACTCATTCTCATAAGTTGAGCAGCTCACAGCTGACTTCTGTGACCCACAACATGCTTCTCCAGAAGTCAATGAATAAAACAAATATAGCAGTGAGAGTCTGGGGTGGGAGGTGCTCCAGTGGCTCTAGAATAGATGACTGAACATCCTAATTTTCAATCAGAAATGAAGGAGCAATGAGACCATTTTCCCTTTGAAACAGGGTTCCTTCCACTAAGGCAGTGTTGCATTTTCATTAGGAAATGTAATGAGATTGGAACACAGGAAATAATTATAACAAGACCCTTGTAGGGCTGGCAGAGAAGTTCTCCCAGGAGACTTGGAAGTGACTCTCTGGCAGTGGTCAGGAGCATGGGCTCTAAAGTCAGATGGACTTGAATTTCAAATCCCCTCTCTGCTGCCTACTAGCTCTGAGAACATGAACATATGACTGTGCCACCCTAGAGCTCAGCCTCTCATGTGTAGAATGAGGGTAAATAATGGTAGATATCTAATAGGGTTATTGTGAGGATTAAATGAAATATGTTTGTAAAGTCCTTAGCAATCAGAAAGGATGAAACAGGAAAAAAAGTATGGTACCTTTAGTGAGAGGCATGACTTCCTTGTGAGTGCATGAGGCTGTGGATAGGATAAATCCAATGTTTTTCCCATTGCATCATGACATCATTGTTAAGTAGCATGCAATTACTATAAAACAATCTAAAAGAAGATGTATTAGGATATAGGCTAAGTAACCTCAAAATACAGTGACTCAAATAAAACAGGAGTATATTTCTCTCTGATGTCACAGTCAGAGATAGAAGGTGGTTCAGAGCAGGTAAGTCACTATATTCCATAAAGTCATTCAATAATCCAGGTTCTTTCCATCTTGTTGCTCTGGCATTCTCCAGGATGTTACCCCTGCGGAACTGTCAAAGCTGGATCACTGCCACATTCATGTTTCAGCCTTCAGAAAGGAAGAGAGACACATTCAGTGTTTGAAGGCCAAGACTCAAAAGACCCATTCTCTAGTCCTGAACTTAGTTCACGTGGCTGGCCACACCTAACTGCAGGGGAGGCTTGGAAATGTAGTCTCAGAGAAGCCATGTGTCCAGCTAATCCCTAAATAATACTAGAGAAGAAATGGAGAATGGATTTAAGGGATATGCAGCAGTCTGCCACAAGGTAACTAATGACAAGGAAGATTGAGCAAGGTAGACTAGATAAACAGATGGTCAATTCAGCCCAACAGATCCTTATTGACACCTTTCATGTAGCTGGCGCCTGGCTCTATAGGGGATTCAGAGATGACTTAGAGAAAATCTTTGCACTTCAGATACTTACAATCTAAGCAGACTGATGTCCTGTTGGATGTTCAATGTTAGAAAGTCTTCAGGAATAAGTAGAGTTTGTGTGTGGAAGGGACTATGAGGGAACCTGCCCAGGACAAGGGTTTGCATAAAGGCACTGAAGTAGGGGCCTCTCCTGTTGTGGGGACAGTGAGAACTCCTTGACTTATGGTGCTACATGTAGCAAGTGCTTAATCAGCATTTCCTAGAAGATATTAATTACTATGGGTTATGTATGGTAAGGGAGGTTAACTAGACGTATTGTGGTGATCAGTCACAGTATATACAAATATCAAATCATTATGTTGTATACATGAAACTAATATAATGTTATATGACAATTATACCTCAGTTAAAATTTTTATATATGGATTATCCAATGTGTAGATGAACCAGACTTCTTAATGCTTTTTTTTTTCTTAATGTTCACCACAATCTTAGGATAGAGACAAATATCTGTGGGGCCTGAGCTTTGGATCAGACAGATCTAGGTTTGCAATCCTGGCTTCGTCACTTACTTAGCAGTGATGACCCTATAGATAATTTAGCATCTCAGAGCCTTACTTCCTCAACTGTAAAATGAAGGCCTCACATTAAATGATATCTGATCCCTTCTCAGCTAAAACTGTCTGTGATTCTCAGACAGCACTATGATAGGGGAGGGGGAGGGCAGTTGGCAGGACTGAGCCCTTCCTCATGAGCAGTTTTGCCAGGTTTTTCCTCGACCAGGCTGTTATGTTCTTTTTTCTCTTTTGGCCACGCCACACAGCTTGTGGGATTTTAGCTCCCCAACCAGGGATTGAACTGGGCCCTCAGCAGTGAGAGCGCACACTCCTAACCACTGGGCCTCCAGGGAATTCCCTGTTATGTTTATTCTTTATGAGTTACTCCATGAGGCAAAATTCAGCCTTTTGGAAAGGGCACAGTTTACCCTGGGTACCCTTCCATCTCCCTATAGTGGACGCCCTTCCAGGCCTGCCCTTTGTCAGTCTGCAGCCCTCATTCTAACCAGAGCTCTCCTTTACAAGGCTTTCCCCCAACCTCCAAAATTACTCTTCTCATCCACCTCTCTACTAATTCATCTTTTCCTTACTGTCAGACCTTGATTAGCTGAGATAAGGAAAAGGGCTAGTTGTAGTGATTCATGCTAAGGTATGATATTCTTTTTTTTCAGAAGGATCCTGTTAATCCTGGAGATTGAATAACTGATGGTAAAAATTCTAAGCACCATGAGTGCTTGACGGTGGAGTGAGGAGACATATTTGGACTGAGGGACTATCCTACTGGAAAAAGAGAGATGATGAAGGAGGAGAGAAGGAGAGAGAGAGAGAAAGAAGGGAAAGAAAGAAGAAAAAAGGAAGGAAGGAAGGAAAGAAGGGAGAAAGGGAGAAAGAAAGAAGGAAGGAAAGAAAGAAAGGAAAGAAAGAAAAAGAAAAAAGAAAGAAAGAGAGAAAGAAAGAAGGAAGGAAGACTTAATATGATAGGTGTATCAGAATGATGAAAAGCATGGGATCTGGAACCAGGCAGCCTGGATTATATCTCAGCTATGTCACTTACTGTATAACTTTGGGAAAGGCCTCTGTGCCTCACTCCCTTCATCAGTAAAATGAGGGTCATAGTAGAGCCTGCCTCATAGGGTGGTTGTGAAAAAGAGCTAATACATACAACATTCATATACATACAGCATTCATATATATACAGCATTCATATACATACAGCATTCATAGGACAGTACCTGGCATGGAGTAAATGCTCAGTGCAAGTTGGCCATGTTGGTTATAACCCAGTCATTTGGCCAACTTGTTGGTTTACCTCTAAGCTAACATGTAATGGGATTCTGGTGCTCTTCTTTCCTCCAGGTAATCTGGAATCCCCCGAGACCCCTCCATCTTCACTGCTTCATATTTTCATCCTCTCCTTCATCATTGCTTTAATGTTCATAGCCACAATGATAGTCCTAAGAAAACGGCTCTACCAAAAGTTTTATTCTGGAAAAGGTAAGTGAGTTTCATTCATGGTAACCTAGTGGACTGGGTATCTGCAGTGTGAGGCTCTGCTTGGCCTCACTGGCCTACAGCTGCCCAGCTTCAAACTAAGTCCACGCAGGGCTTATGAATTGCTTTGGGCTTTTCCTGATGATTTTTCCCCCAGAAAAAAATGGCTCCAGTCTTCAGTGAGCTGGAATCTTTACACTGAATATTTTTAAAGGAATGTTTTGTTCCTGTGGCCGAAATTGTTTGCTGTGATCTTTGAGCCAAGAAAATGTCATTAGCCTCGTGAGATCAGTGTTATTTTCGCAGTACAGTTGAGTATGTGGTCAGAGTTCACTCGTGGGAGAATGCCAGGATCCTTTATGAGGATTCCTTTAGTTCTCATTCCTCCTTTCTCCATTCTGGGTCTGAGCTGGGCTGAGCCCTCCTCCTTCCCACAAGAATCTGAATCTTCTGGTTGGGTAAGGAAAGGAAAAAAGTATGAGGCCATCTGGGGGTAGGGAAAGCACATGATTGGTGGTAACCTGAGGTCTCCTCACCCTGTCACATGCTCACCAACCCATTCCTATTCTATTGTGACAGCTGGGACAGAGCATGCCTGTGGCCTTTGAACCCATGCCAGAATACCTGCAGGCCTATCTGATGCTTTCTAAAACTATTCCTTTGTCAGCACCCAGTGAGCTCCTCCCAGAATCTAAACATGGCCTATAGAAAAGGAAAATGCATCTGGGAGTAATTCAGTAGGAATTTGGAATGGTCACTATTTGAGAATTGGGGGGCTTTTAGGTGATTGTTATCCTACGTCTACAGTCTAACTTCTATAGTCTCATCTGCCGTGAAATATTGTCATAATTTTTCCTTTGTCCTATGTGTGCATTAGCTTGGGTATTAACCACAAAACCCTCTACTATGGAATCCAGCATCCAAGAACTATTGTGAAAAGAAAGAGGGGGGGTGGGGAGGAAGGAAGAAGGGAAGAAGGGAGGGAGGAAAGGAGGAAAAATGGGGTGGGGAGAGAGAGAGAGGGGGGATAGAAGTAGAGGGGAAGGGCAATTCACCATAAAGGAGGAATTACAGGGTCTTGCCCCAAAGAACTTTGACTAAACAGAATCACTTCTGCAAATCTATGACCTCAGAGAGTCATGACAGATGCAGCTCATCAGAATCTTACCTTCTGCATTCTTTCATTACCTCCCTCATACGTACCTCTCAGAAACAACTTTATAACCAAGGTTCCAGACCTGGGACCTGAGAGCCCATTAGTCACCTCAGAAATGAGCAGCAGAGTCTTCTGCCCCTACTCTCTTTGGGAAAATGAAATGGAGCAACATTCCTTAAAGATAGAGCAGAAAAAAGGAATCCTCCCCTCATCCCCCATCCCAATCTCAAGAGTAAGTGAAGCTATCAGTAGCTTCAAGCTGGGTGCAAGTCTCAGGCACCAACTGGAGTGGGAGAGATTTGTTACTAATAAGAGGTAAGTGAATACATTTTCAAATGATTCCTTTTCTGTTTTTAATGAACCAGAGTGAAATCACCGTTGCCTATGTAATAACCCCCTCTCTAACTCTTGTGCTTTGGGATCTGCTTTCTTGCAAGGGAGTAAACAGATACACGTGTGGAAATGCATTTGCCATGTAGACAAACTCATGTCACAGAAGAAGCTTGAGAAGTTCTGGTACTCTGGATAGAGCTTTAAACCAGTGACAGAAGCTAGGTCTGGACCTGGTGCTCCCACATATTGGTTCTATGATCTTGTACGAATCACTCAACTTCTTTGAGGTGTTTTTTCCATCTGTTGCAGGAAGCAATATGAGAACAACATTTTCCAGCTTACTGATCCAACCTCACTGCCACGACTGTGGTTCAACCTGGACTAGGGCAGAACCCTCCTACTTGTCTCCCTGTACCCACTCCTGCCTCCAGTGTGGTCTATTTTCAATTTAGCTAGAACAGGCGTTTAAATTCTCAAATCTACCATGTCTTCTCTGCTCACAGCTCTTCCATGGCTTCTCACTGCTCGCTGGGTGAAGTCCCAACAAGTCCCTGGTCCTATGACTCACATCTCGGCTTTGTACCCTCGTTTTCCAAGCTCTAGCCGTACAGTATTGTCTGGTCCACAGAGGTATCTCATTCTTGCAATTCTGAGTTTTCTCATATAATATTCACTCCTTCTAAAATACTTTCTTTTCTTTGTCCACCTGAGTTGGAGTCATCCTTTGAATCTTAGCTAAGCTGTCACTTCATCAAGCCTTCCCTGATTCTACTCCCACCCCTGACTCTACTCCCTCATGACACCCATTACTTCAAATCCCCTTGTTAGATATTTCCATAGCACCTACTTCTCCTTTCAATGCACTCAGCACACATTACATACTTAAGGCCTGTTTTAATAGCTTGGGCTATAAATGGAATTGCATCCCTTTTAATTTTCCAAATCCTCAAGTACCCACCTGCCTACCTCAGCAAGAAGTCAAGTGTCTCCCTCTTACAGTATGTACTTCCCCACCTCCCACAGACTGTCAGGAGGCTTGCTTAGCCCCCAGGGTCAGTGCTGCTTCAAAACAGGCAGGAAGGCTACTGGGGAGCTAGGTCAGTTCACCAGAGGGCACTGGTTTTGAGCTGCAGCTGTTTCTACTGCCGTGCAACATCTCTGTTCCCTCTGGGTATCTCTGTCTACCACACAAAGGTACCCTTGCCAGTCCAGATCCCCACACAGACCAGAGTGATGCAGGATGGCAACTCTTCTGGCTCCCCTCACACGTTCTGCCATTGCTCCTAAAGCAAGATTCTCATGGGCTGGTGTGGCAGAAGGGGCTTCCTGCCTTAACAGCAGCTGTGCCCAGCCAGCCTCTTCTGCGCTCAGCCTTTATATTGAGCCTGGGACATCAGTCCTAACTGCCTTATCTTGAGTTCCTCTTGGCGACATTGCTGTCCCAAACTTCTAAATCTATCAGAGTAAAATAAACAGGTCCACCCAGAAGGCTCTTTGGCTCCTAAATAGGTTTACCCACCTATGTCTCAGCAACCAGCTCTGCACACCAAGGTGTATAGGGAGGCTGCTGACAGTCCATACAGGGTTCTGTTTACCATCTCCACTTAAGAGGAACCATTCAATAGTTTACGGCTGCAGGGTGACTTGCTGTGTTCCAGAAAAGAAGTTGGCCTTCTATTACAAAAACAATGTCAAGTTCTGCTTCATCTGCTAATCTTTAAATTTCCTGAGTTCAGGGACTGTGTTTCTCTTATTCATCAGTATATGTCCAGTGTCTAAAACATTACCTGGCATATATAGACGTTAAACAAAATTTTAGACATTTAACCTCCCATGTGCAGATATGTATGCTAACCTGCTCTGTACAATGTAGCCGTATGTCGTTATTTAAATTAAATAAAAATTCAAGTCCCTGGTCATATTTTAAGTGCTCACATATTGTAGGTGTTCAATAGTCACATGTGGCTAGTAGCTACTCTATGGGATAGAGCAGTATTTCCAATTTCTACTGGATTCAATAAATATAATATGATATTTCAATAAATATAATATATTTCAATAAATATGATCATTAAAAAACAAAACATATTAAAAGAATTTCTATAAAAGTTTCTAAATGTTTATACTTGATTTTTATATCTATCTCATCATAGACTGTTAACAATCAGTTCACCTACTGGTACCAGCCCATGGACCACATTTTGAGTGGCACTGCCCTAAAAGACTGAGCCAGGACTTTGCAGGGATTTAAACCAAAGGCCAAATATGCTGGCTAATGCTTGCATGAGAACCACAGAGAATGGCAGCACTGACCTCAGGCATTAGAGACCTTCACTCGATCTCCAACATTCAAGGGCAATTTCTATAGGCTAACCATTGGGCTCCTTTCAAATACAAACACTCTTGGAGGAGATTGCCGTGTGGGATAGAAGCCCTCTAAGTCCAGGCCAAGGTCAGGATGGTTATGAGGGAGTTACAAAGAATCTGATGTACAGAGCAAAAGCAGAATTAGGGATGGATTGAGTTCAGGAGCCCAGGCAACTGTAGGACATGGGCATCAAGCCCTGGAAGAAAATCAGAGTGGGAGGGAACATGTGAAATCAGCGGTTGAGAAAGAGATGAAACCAGGGAAACAGTGGTCAGCAGCGTCCCATCATGTGAACTTGTGCTTCTGCCCCAGGAATTACTTTGAACAAGTATGTCATTTATACCTTAGAGTAAATTAATTGGTCAGACCATCTGCTCTGTTTAGGGAAGACAGGAAGGAAGTGGTATTCAGGACTAAAGCAGAACAGGGAGAGATAATTTCGGAGACATTTCCTGGGCTGAATACCCAAATTAGCAGCCCCTCAGCCTCTGAGTACCTGGGGGCCAGAGGCAGACAACAGAATGGAAAGTAAGTGGGGGCCTTCTTTCTTCACAATTTTCTCCTAAGAGTATGGTTTTTCGTCATATTCAGCCTGAGGTCTCAAACCACGGTGGACATTTGGACTTCTATATGTGGATTTATTTGAAGTTACTTTTTGTTCTGCCATTGTTTAACCTATAAACAGAACTATTTCCTCATTAATCTTAACCCATCCCTGGATTTTTTTCTTTTTCAGGCACAACAAAAAGATATGTCACCACGGTAAGGAGGGAAGTGGACAGAGCTGTAAGTAATCATGATTTTCCTTTTCTTTTTCACCCCCTTTCCTCTCCCAGCGTGAATTAAGAAATAACCTCTATTAATGCACCAAGGGCAACTGAATAGTTTAGGCTCGCGCAGAATCTTCCTGTTAAGTGGTATTTTTAGCCCGTTTTTCTTGCAACCCTGTGTTGTTCCATACCTTTCTTGGAGAACAAGATGGTGTCTTGTATAGCCACAGAACAACTCTGTAGCCTTTCGTCTGTCTGTATTCCTAAGCACCCCTAGAAAATAAGGCACAGGACATCTGGGCTCACAAAATTAGATGCATGGTTAAATTTAACAGTAAGGAGAAGATATTCAACTGTGGCACAATCAACAGCTGATCTTTTTGCAACAGTTGTTAAGTACACTGTTGGGGGCTGTGTGTCAGGGGCATTGCTGGGGATGTAGAAGTATGTCATGAGGTTGACAGGCATGGAGCTGGACTTTGTGGAAGAGAGAGGATGTGATCTGGAGGTTAGAAGAAGTAGGATTGCTGAAATCATTCAGGCTCTTTGGATGAAAAGCTTAGACCCTGGGGAAGTGGTATGTTGGGGACCAACAGGCCTGGGTCTCATTGTAAAATGGGTATTTCTGGCTTTCTTGGGAAAGCTGCCTTTCCCTGCAATCTAGGGATCACATGGTGTGACACACAAGTTTATGAGTCACCAAAATAATGATAGGCAATTCATAGAAATTTCTAATTAACTATGTATCGGCTAGTCAGAATATTCAGAACTGTTCATTTTCAAATGCTGTTGAATATATCCCCAAATTTCCAGAGGGACCAATTGTGAAAATAACCCTAGAAAACCTTCAGATACCAGGGTCTGTATCTGGCTTATGCATCAGACATGGCAGCTTAGAAGCACAAAATAAAACTTAAAAGAATGAAATGAAAAGAGGCTCCTGCACCCTCCCTGTCTCCACCACTTCCCTGAAAGCGATTCTTGAAACTACATCCTGTGACTGTATACGCATCCCTGGGCACAGCACCAGGAAAGAATTGCAGCTTAGGCCGGACTGTTACCCTGAGCTTTTCTGAATCAGCAACAAGATTTTCTTGACTCAGAAAACTTTCAGATCAACACTGGCAGCCCTGATAGAAACATTCATTTCTTGAGAAACAAAAATCCTATATTCCTATAAATTGATCTGCTTGGTCTACATGTGAGTTTCCATGGGAGAGGTCCAATATTTGTCTGAATTTCACGAGGTCAGAGTGTATAAGCGACTCCTTCAATGGCTCAGCATAAGGAAGAAAGCATAGTGGAAGTCCTGAGCACAGAGGTAATAAACTCAGGTGCCTACTAGGGCCAGGCAGGTGATGAAATGAGTAAACACTGTCTAGTATAACCTGATAGGGAGTGGGGGAGGGATTTCAAGAAATTGGAGAGTATATTCCCTGTCAATTTAGCACTAGACTAACATTGCCTGAGAAGATGGAAATCCATATTTTTATATAAAAACAACCTAATTACTAAATGCTGGCTGAAAGTATTTCAAATACCAAACAAACTAAATAAAATGTGCCCGTAGGCTAATTGAGCCTGTCAATGACCAGTTTTCAAGCTCTTTCCTAGAGAGAAAATATTGTCAGGAAAGAGCCTAGGATCTGAGTAATGAAAGCAGAAACACCTATTTGGAGAACTGAACACTCAAAGGCTTGCTGCCAACCTAAATGTCTATCCTATGGCCTGCCACATGGTCTGCATGTTGCACTGTTATAAAGTGACTCCTTTGGATTAACAGTGTATCACAGTCATTTTTAACCAGTACAGCTCCTTATAAACAGAAAAATTTCAAACCCTCTTTTAATGGTGTCTGAAATTCAAAATAGAGTAACTATCTTGATCAAAAATCAAGTTAAAGAAATGGGACTAATTCCTTCCTCCCCCTGCCCGGCCCCCCGCCCCTCCACAATTATATATAGTCACAGTCTCTACCTTTTAACCTGGAGGAAGGGAGAGTCAGGGAGGTGAGAGAGTGATGCTTCTCCTCTTTCTCCCTCACCCCTCCTTGGCACTTACCTGAGAGTATGTGGTACAGTGTAAATAAGTCAGGACCACTTAGATATACATCATAGAAGACACACATAGGAATGCACACGGTACTATTACTTATAATAGCAACAAATTAGAAATAATCAAATATGCATCAATAGGAGAAAAGATGAATAGGAAGACTAGACAGTAATTAAAATGAAAGCACCAAAACTGTGCCAAAACTATTTTTGAGATGAATAAATCTGAACAATATAATTTGGAGAGGAAAGACAGATACAGATAGCATATTACCAATGACAGAGAGTTTAAAAACATGCAAATAGGGCTTCCCTGGTGGCGCAGTGGTTGAGAGTCCGCCTGCCGATGCAGGGGACATGGGTTTGTGCCCCGGTCCAGGAAGATCCCGCATGCTGTGGAGCGGCTGGGCCCGTGAGCCATGGCCGCTGAGCCTGCGCGTCCAGAGCCTGTGCTCCGCAACGGGAGAGGCCACAGCAGTGAGAGGCCCGCGTACCGCAAAAAAAAAACAAAAAACAAAAAACACATGCAAACAACCCCTAAGTAGTGTTTATGGGAAACAGTCATGTGATATAAAAGTACAAAAATAGTATGGAAGTGATAAACATCAAAGTTAACCTCAAACTGGGTAGTGGTTATACAGATGTTCGTTACATTATTCTCTATACTTTATTTTATGCCTGAAATATTTATTTTTATAAAAAAAGAGGTCACAATTAAAAGTCAAGACATTTAGATTTAAGTTTTTCTGTGAGCTAGCTACACAACCTTAGGTAAGATCTGCCCCCTCTCTGTGCTTCAGTTTTGTCATCTGTAAATTGAGAAAGTTGGACCAAATCCAGAAGGGCAAACAGCCCTCATGTCAGGTGCAGGGAATGCCTAGAGCAGAGATAAGGATGGTTTGGGAGACTATTTCTAGATGGAATGTGTGGTGATTGATGAATGAATAATGTCTGCCTTGGGTGTGGGGTGGGAAAAGTCATGGTCCTTGACAATATATTAAAAAAAAAAACAATTATGCGTTTATCTGTATTTCCATTCATCTTTGTCATGTACATACATACATGACATTATTTTGTGTTCTACATGTTTCAGTTGCATTCAGAGTTATTTTCAGATTGATCCAAGTCTTTGTAATCATGTTTAGAGCTGCATAAAATGTAGAACTTGACTGATGATCACTAGTGATGAAGTATTAAAGGAACAAATTACTCATTTTTACTTAGCATAATGTTTTATGGTTTTGTCAAGACAAATACCAATGTGTTAGATTTTCAGTAGATGCTTTTTAATTTCCTCCCTAAAAAGTTGTTCATCAGTTATTAACTCTTTATTTAGAATGGATTTAATGCTTTGGATAATATCCCCTGGGAAGAAGAGGGAGCCAGACATGGAGATACTGATTTGAGAAATAGGAAGAGGCTAGGTCTGGGGCCCAGTGTTTGGACAGCCAAGAAAACTTGGTACGTGTTGTTGGGGGTGAGGGGTACTTCAGGCTTCTCCAGAGAAACAGAACACAGAACCACTAGGAGACCAAAAAGTATGAAATCTGTAGGGCGGGCTGGCAGGCTGGGAACTCAGGTAAGAGCTGAAGGTGCAATATTGAGTCCCAGATCTATAGGTCAGGCCAGCAGGCTGGGGACTCAGGTAGGATTTCTACATTACAGTATTGAGGCAGAATTCCTTCTTCTCTGAGAAACCTCAGTTGTTGCTCTCAAGGTCTTCAACTGTTTGAATGAGGCTCATCCACATTATGGAAGGTAATCTGCTTTATTTAAAGTCAGTGGACAGTAGGGACTTCCCTGGCGGTCCAAGTGGTTAAAGACTTTGTCTTCCAATGCAGGGGGTGTGGGTTTGATCCCAGGGAGCTAAGGTCCCACATGCCTCAGGGCCAAAAAAACCAAAACATAAAAACAGAAGCAATATTGCAACAAATTCAATAAAGACCTTAAAAATGGTCCACATCAGGGGTTCCCTGGTGGCACTGTGGTTGAGAGTCCGCCTGCCGATGCAGGGGACGTGGGTTCGTGACCTGGTCCGGGAAGATCCCACATGCCACGGAGTGGCTGGGCCCATGAGCCGTGGCCGCTGAGCCTGCATGTCCGGAGCCTGTGCTCCACAACAGGAGAAACCACAAAAGGGCGAGGTACCCGAAAAAAAAAAAAAAAAAAATTGGTCTACATCAAAAAAATCTTAAAAAAAAAAAAGTCAGTTGACGGTAAATGTTAATCACATCTACAAAACACCTTCACAGCAACATGTAGACTAACATTTCACCAAACTGGGCACATTAGTCTAGGCAAATTGACATATAAAATTAACCATCATGGCATCAGGAGTTGAGGGGAATATTTTGCCTGGAATAAGTCAAGTTATCAGACCTCTCAGAGCCTTTAAAAATAGAAGTATGTGGCCATCTATTTTCTGGTCATTGGAGTTGTCCAAATGACCAGGGCTCTGTCTAATACCTGCTCATCCATGTAGCTGCCACCCCAAATTTTCATGCAGACTAACTATTTAGGGTTTTTTGTATATTTCAGCAGGATTTTTTTCTCAGCTCACTGCCTCTCAACCTTTCAGCAACAAAAGAACGTCTGTGGCATCAGACTCTGCCACTTTATATATTTTGAAATAAAGAATATCTGAGTAGATCTAGAGGGGGAAAGAAAAACACACTTGTAGTCAAATGTTACTTGATAAAATCAAACTACAGTTTTTGGAAATTACTTCTCAGTAAAATGAAGAGATGGCATGAAATAGATTTGACTTATCTAATATCTTGTTTCCTTACCAACTCCCAGTGAGACATTTTAAAATGTACAGATAGCTTTGGAAAGTCCCCTTGAGTGGAGCCGGCACACTCTGTGAGGTCCGATTCCCCCTCCACTGTTTTCATCATCATGCCAGTCTCCTGTCTCTAGACTAGATCTAAACTCCTTTGCATGGCTTTTCAGGGCATCCTTC